GAGAGAGAGATTTTTAATATTTATGTTTTTTTAGTTTTCAGTGGATACAACATCTTTATTTTATTTTTATGTGGTGCTGAGGATCAAACCCAGCGCTCAGCGCATGCCAGGCGAGCATGCTACCACTTGAGCCACATCCCCAGCCTAGAGATTATTTTTTTAAAAATATATATTTTTTTAGTTGTTGATGGACCTTTATTTTATTTATTTATATGTGGTGCTGAGAATCGAATCCAGTGCCTCCCATATGCCAGGCAAGCGCTTTACCACTGAGCTATAACCCCAGCCCTAAAGGTTATTTTAAAATCAACAAAACCCTGCATTTATCCAGAAAGAATTATATGTCACATATTAATGCCTACATTAAAAGTGAAAATACATAGAAAAATTTAAATTCCAGTGGCTAATATTTAATTACTTTAATTTAATAATAAAAACTACCAATTGACAAAAACCTATCCTTGTCTCTTCAGCTACCTCTAAATTATATCCTAGAGAAAACGTGACTGAAGAGAACCATATAGATTTGGATTTTAAACAAAATAAATAGAAAGCCCTTTAAAAGGGACAAAGGAATCCAGTTTGTTGCAAAGCAAATGTATACAAGGAGGGGAACTTATTCTTACAAGGAGGCACCATCTCTGTTAAGAACAAAGATCCTAATCATGGCCTCCAATATTTGAATGCTCTTAGTCCTTTCCCATTTTCTCCATTTCAGTGCCTAACTTCCTTCAATTTCCCAAGATAAATTTGCTTTAGTTCCAAGGTAAATTTAAACAGGAAGTAAGATTAAAAACAAAATAGAACAATTTTTAAAACTCCAGCTTTAGAAGAACGCTATCAGCCCAGTGCTAACACCTGCACTTCTAAAGGAGGATTTCCTCTGTCAATAGTGCTATCAGATTGGTTGGCAACAATGCTGCTGCGCCTGAGAGCTGTACCTTAGTCCTCCTTCTTATTTTCAGTGAATTAATTATCCCTAGCATACTAGTCTTTGCCTGAAACTGGAAGCCAGCCCTGAAACCTCAGTGTGGGAATTTAGCCTCAACATCTATGATTAGGTCATGTTACTTCTGTATCAAGTGCCAAAAGAATAGGAAAAAACCCTTCTTTTGTGGAGGCTGACTGACTGGCACAACTGACCTCTAAGTCGTGTCCTCCTAAGTTCTTCACTGCTCTGCCCTACACATGCCAGACCACCCTGATAGCTCCTTGGGTAGTCTCCCTGGAGGTTGCCAATTCCTGGTGGTCCCAACCCCTTGTCTAGAATGTGACTAGATTTATGACACCACCTGGCACAGTTCCTTGCTTTCCTAGCTAAACCCTCTTCATCTAACTTGTTCTGCTGTGAATCATGGGAGAAGTGATATCTTTTGGGAAGATTGCTTAGTGTCAAGTTTGAAGTACTGTTTCAACTATATCTGAAAACCGTGCTGATTTTATGTGGTAACTACAAGACACATGACAATTAAGCACTTGAAATGTAGCTGGTTGAAAATAGGTTCTCTAAGTGTAAAATATATACTGAATCAGGAAAAGAAAGAAAGAAGAGAGAAATCTCAAGTTTTAAACAAAATGGGATGAGTGGAGGAAGGACTAGAGGGTAGAAAGCAGAGAGGGAAGGGGGAAGTGCTGAGGAGTGATACTGGTCAAATTATATTTTTATATTGTGTGCATATACAAATATGTAAAAGCAAAAAAAAATGTTTAAAAAATAAAAATACTGATTAAATACTGAAATGATCACATAATGGCTATATATGTTATATTATCAAATTTAATTTTCATTATTTATTTTTACTTTTTGAAATGTGGCTACTAGAAAATTTAAAATTACATATACTATTTGCATTATATTTTTCCTAGACTGTGTTTGCCTTGGGTCTTATGACAGTGGCAACAGCAGAGTCTATTTTGAGGGCTGGGGTTGTAGCTCAGTGGTAGAGTGCTTGCCTAGCAGTGGGTTTGATCCACAGCACCACATAAACATAAAAATTAAAAAAAATATTAAAAAAAGAAGTTAGGATTTGAACCCAAACTGTTCTTTCACCTACTCTGTCTCCCATCCCTGTGCCTCCCTGACTCCACACTAAAAACAACAAAAATGAATCTATTTTGAGAGGTTTGCTTGTGTATGAGGATATTAGAAAATATCTGAAAAATGAAAGCTCTTCTTTATAGAAAAACTCTCAAGCTAATAAATGCTGAAGGAATGATAGATTATCTCATTTTATAACCTCCACTGGAAGAAGTAATTTAGAAAAGGATCATGAAGGAATGCTAAAACCACCAATAAAAGGCTGTTGCAGAAAAGGATGTTCACCCAGTGGCAGAATGTTGCCCTAGAAGGCTGAGGATGTGTCTCAGTGGTAAAGCACTTGCTTAGCACGCATGAGGCATGGGGTTGAATCCCAAGCACTGCAACAAACAAGAAATGTCATCCTAAAGATTGTTTATAAACTGTAAGATGAAGATCTGATGGTCCCCACCTTAATGGGAAATGGTCAAGCTTAACATATGTGCAGTGTTATAACTTAACATCACAGACTTTGTGATAAGTGACGACAGGAGGTATCTAAATACTGAGAAAATTTCAAATATACATCAATTCAATTTTGTAAGTGAAAATCATACTCATTTTCACCTAATCATTTTACTATACTGACTTCATCATGTATCTATCAATTTCTCTGTCAATCTGTTTTATTTTTTAATGTGTTTCAATATAAATTGCCATCATTAGTACAGCCCTCCCCCTATAATCTATGAAGTACTTTTGACCAAAATATCCAACCTGAATCTAACAAAGTCTTTAATTCTAACTTCCAGTGTATAGGAAATACAGAAGATAAAGAAAAAAGTTATTTAGTGATGAAAATATATAGTTCAGAAAAACTGCAAACTTGAGATATTCTGTGGTTATATGGCTTAAAAAAATTTATGTCATAAAAAAAGTTTGCCCATTGGCTGGGGATGTGGCTCAAGCGGTAAGGAGGTCGTCTGGCATGCACGGGGTGCTGAGTTCAATCCTCAGCACCACATAAAAATAAAAATAAAATAAAAACAAAGTTTGCCTTCAATAGATGAATAAATTAAAAAATGTGGTATACACACACAATGGAATATTACTCAGCAATAGAAGAGAATAAAATCATGGGATCTGCATGTAAATGGATAAAGTTGGAGAATATAATGCTAAGTGAAGTTAGCCAATCCCAAAAAACCAAATGCCGAATGTTTTCTCTGATATAAGGAGGCTGATTCATAGTGGCGTTGGGAGGGGGAGCATAGGAGGATTAGACAGAAGAACTCTAGAAGGGCAAAAGGGTGGGTGGAAGGGGAGGGGAGGGGGCATGGGGGTAGAAAAGATGGTGGAAGGAGATGGATACCATTACCCTAAATACATGTATGAAGACACAAATGGTGTGACTGTACTTTATGTACAACCAGAGATATGAAAAATTGTGCTCTATATGGGTAATATGAATTGTAATGCATTCCACTGTCATATATAACAAGTTAGAATAAAAAAATCAATTAAAAAAAAGTTTGGGTGATTAGAATTAAGAGTCTAAGGAAGCATTCTATCTTTGCTAACCTAAAACAGGTTCTATTTATTAAAAAAAAAAAAAGAGCTACAAAAGACACTCTCACAACAACTAGAGAGATGTGGCAATGGATTAAATATTAGATAATGTGGATTTATTAATTTTCTTAGGTGTGATAATGGAGTCTGTAGTTATGTAGGAAAGGACTCTTGCTTTTAGGAGATGAATGCTAAATAGACACAAATAAATCTTAAAATTTATTCTATAGAGATAAAGCAAATGCAGCAATATATTCTCAACTATATCTAGGAAGAGGTAAAAAGGTGTTTACTGTCCTAGTCTTTTAACTTTCTGTTACATCTAAGACACTTCAAACAGAAATTATTGGCAGAATAAATTTTTAAAAATTCATTGCATAGAGATTGATATAGTCTATTCTGTTTTGTACTGTGTGGGTCTTCTGGATTGAGAATGTAATCTTTGGAGAGAAAAATCTTATCATAGACAGACACAAACACACACAAGAATGCTTTAGAGCATTCTTTATTTTCACCTCAAAGCTAGTGCTATTGTTATGCAATATTTCAATGGGTGATTTAGGCTGTGCAAAGGCTTTAGGCAGCAGCATTATGAAAGATAACTAAATCATAATAAGTTTATACTTGAGAGCAGGCTCACTGCTACCAGACAGCACAATGTGTGGATTGAGACAGTCAGTCTCATGACTTCATATTTTACTTTATATATCACTTGTTAAAAGTATCTTGCCTATTCTTGGCAACTCCAAGCACAAGGTTTTGTGATCTTCTTTTTCCTTAAGATTCATTCAGCTTTCCAACCTACTGCTGCTCCTGGGAGTCATTAGAGCAGTTTCATCTTAAAAATCCAAAGATATATTCATTACCCAGAAGTCATTAGAACTAGAAACAGTAAATCATTAACAGAGATCACTGGATATAATACAGTGATTATTTTTACTATATTAATTTTTACTATATTACTATAATTTTTAAGATTTATTAAAACTAAATACAAATATTAAATTGATATTACAAATTAAAACACAATTTTCCAAAAATAATAAAATATGTGCAATTTTATATGTATACTTATGGTTGGGAAAAAGGAAACCAGCCACTGACACTCCTGATCATTCTTTTAAACTATGGCTGCTAGGTTAACATATAAGCTGGAAGCAAAGAGGTAGCTTAGAGGAGGGTATGAACAAGACTAGAAAATATTAAACGATAGACTAAAAAGTATTACAGTCAGGGCTTAGATTTTACATTTAAAAGTATATGGTTGTTTTTTTTAAGGGGGGTGGCAGTGCATAAAAGAACAATAGTAAAGTAGGAAACTACCTTACTGAACGAATGAACACGTGGATTCAGTGAAATAATTCATACATTTGCCTTGCTTCAGATGAAGTAAGCACAAGGAAATGATATTTACCAGGGTTTGTCTTCTCAAGTTGATACCATCGGTAAAATGCTCTTTTCTTTTGTTCACTCAGGTCTGATCCCTGCTGCAGCAGCCAATGAGAGATCCGGCTCTGACTGATACCTATGAAGAGAGAAAAACAGCTTTTGTCGGGGGCAGTGAAACAACAGTGAAGCTACTGAGGGTTCTGGGTCACTGGGAGCTTTATTCTTAAGTGACTCTGTCAGGAGGCTGAAACTTGAGCAGAGTCCTCAACAGTGGGCTGACTGCACTGGCTAGAACATACTCAGAAATTATCTACTAAAGGTTAAAAAGCATTTTATTAGCCTAGACTTCACAGTGGCCCTCTAAAATTTATTTTCAAACCAGGTCCATAAAATATGAAATAAATGAAGAGATTCCTATATTCCAGTTATTTGTCAGAAATTGATTACATTTGGGTGCCCTCCACCCACCTCTGGTTTAAAACTTTTAACAGATTCTGAGTGGGGGAAAAACATCAAGTCAGCAAGTTTTCCCATTTATTATTGATACTCGTAAAAAGATTTAGGTGCAGGGAAAGGAGAAGTCACTGAAAATACTGTCTTCAATAAGGTTTTTGGCTTATTTGTTAATTCATTTAGGCATTTTTAGACTCATTACCATTAGCATAAAGAAGTAAGAATTGGCAGACTTTTAGATTTATGCTGAAATATGACCTCTGAAGAAACCTCACTAGCTAAAAATGTTCTTCAAGCACATATAATTTCCCCAAATAAAGGAACAGAATATAGAAAAAATAGTATTCTGCTATCATCAGGAAATGCTTGACAGCAATTAGTTAGAAATGTGGAAAAAAAACTCCACATCTGAAAGTAAAAAAGCACATCTGAACCTTACTAGTATGAGAATTACATGCTTATTCTGGTTATTATAGATTCTCCAAAAAATGCATAATTCAATATATAACTAGCAAAAGGAAAGAATATAAGGAACGACAAAACTATATTACCTAAACTGGCCTTGAACTTACAATCCTCATATGTTAGCAAAAATTATGGACATGGAGCATATGGATCTCTGCATGTAGGGTACAATAAGAGCCATTTGGGGAAATACTTGGACAGTATCCTAATGCTTAGTTTGTACAAGATATGCCGAACAATGCGTTTCCTAGAAATGCCCACAGAAATGTATACCTATGCAATAGAAGTATGTTCAAAAGATGAGAAGGCTCATATATGAGCATTATCTATAATAGTCCTGATTCAGAAAAACTACATATCCATCAACAGTAGAAGGCATAAATTGTGACATACATGCATTTGACTTCTATATTAAATAGAAAAATGATAAACTACTGCTATCTGTAACCACCCAAAGAAACCTCACAAAAATAATATTGACCATAAAAAGTTAGACTCATACACAAAAACCCCATAGGCAACCAGGATTAAACTTATAAAAAGTAAAATAAAACAAAACGAACAAAAGCACACAACTAAGCTACAGAGATGATGGCCATCAGAATAATACTGGTTACCAATACAGATGCCTGGAGGCAGGATGAGGAAGGTTAGTATGTGCTCAACAGTGCTCTTTAACTTATCTGGAGTTGTGGTTATGTGGGTGCCTTCACTTGTCAAAAGTCATTAACCTGGACCCTATTCTGTATATGTATATTTAATTTTAAAGAAGTTTCCCCAAAAAGTTAAAAAAATTCTATATAGTTTCAAAAACTAAATTAAGTGGATATATATATTAATATGGAAAAGCTGCTCATGATATAAATAAAAAACTATACTTTTATGGATATATAATTTTATGTAATCTATATTCTATTTGGTATAGTAACAAATATGCAAAAAATATTTGTATTTGGTATTCTTGTATTTTCATATTTATAACCAAATATGCACAAAAATTTAAAGTCGTTAAATTTTCTAATATTCCTACCTCAATATTGCTTTCATAACCTTTTCCTAAATATGCATTCATTTAATCTTTAGCTTTTCACCCTAAATACTACATACTTGATTGTTTTATAAAGATTGCTATTAAGTTAAAGAGTTACAAAAAGAAGTTAATTTCTGCCTTTCTTATCCAATTCTACTCTTTTAGGTAAGCAATGTAAACTATTTAAAAATATATTATTCTTCAATTTTCTACATGTGTAATTACCAATTTAACAAAACAAAGGGAAAAAGAAGGTTAATGTATAGCAGCTTCCTATCCTCAGCTTTTGTATGAGGAGAAAACAAAGAATTTCCCTATAAACTTATCTCAGTTTTATATAACAAATGTAGAAAATGAACTGTAAAGCAGGCTGTTTTTCCAAAAGAGACACTGCAAAAAATTTTTAAAAAGTAGGATGACATATTTTATAATGATTCTTCTTAGTAGCCTGTGCAACTTTCCTTTAACTCATGCCTGTGAGACTGGTTTGGAACTTCAGTAGAACTTGGTATTCTGAGTTTCTTCAGCTTCTCTTTACCAGAAGCTTTGCTTACCTGCTTCTTCCATTGCTGAAGAAAATCTCTTGTTTTACCTCCTCAAATCCTTTTCCCTTCTACCTTTTACAGAGCAGAAAAATTTTATATATAATCTGTGTATATTGACTCAAATTAACCCTTGCTTAATTTTTTTTCCAGTAAGAAAATAATCCCATTGTATTCACAAGAGGAAAACACTTTTATGCAAGCAACACTCACATTATTTTCTGAGTTAAAATTCTTTTCCAGTTCTACAAATACCAGACTCCCTTCCACTAGAGGGCTCTCCACCATAATCCATTCTCAAAGTGTAATACTATATTATAAATTTAATGTTTCATTTTTCTCTCACTTCCTGTGGAGTGTGACACAACTGACCATTCACGTCATCTTCACTCTCGGAATACTGACACATCTCCTCCAAGGCAACTTGTCAGTGGCTTCAGGTGCTGCTCTGCTGGCTCCCCCATGGGCCCCAGGGTTCCCGCTTTAAGCATCTTTTCTCACTCTATACATTATTCCTTTGGTTATTGCAATTATCAACAATTATAATTTAAAAATGTCATCTTAATATGTTCTGAATAACTTGAATTCCTTCATGTTCTGTTTTCATTCATTTCAAATTATTTTCTAATTTCCCTGTGATTTCTTCTTTAATGCACTATTAACAATGTTTTCTGTTTGTGAATACCTCAAATTTTGTTGTTATTAATTTGTGATTTCTTATTAACTTCAGAGAATGAGCTTTGTATCATTTTAACCTAATCTTATTACTTTTTCATGCAATATCTGAATTTTTAGGACATTTTAAAATTACTTTTCCCTTACTTTGAGCTGTAAAGATTTTTATATTTTGGATGCTGTATTTTACTATTTATAAATCTATGCTTTATCTATATTATTTATTTGATCACTTAATTTCATTTTTCTATTTGGTGCAAGTAAGTGTCAAGGAATTTTGGTTTTGTTGTTGTTGCTGTTTAATATGGAAGTCCAATTCTTTTAGCATAGCATCAGTTGTTGGAAAGTCCTTTACCCATTGGATTATCCTGGCACCCCTATTTAAAATCAATCCATGTATGTGTGGGTCAATTTTGAATTCAGTATTCTGTGCCATTTTTTTCTACATGTCCATTTTTATGCCAATATTACAGTGCCTTCATTAATGTTAGTTTATGTAAATTTTAAATCAGAAAATAAAGAAATGCACATTGGAAAAAAACAATTAAAAAAAAGTTCACCATAAAATGAAATTTTAAAAGTCATACCGAAGACGTTCTGGGGACCAGACCTATTGTTTCAAACTATCTTATAGATTGCTTCCATGAGAATTTCCCACAGGTCCTCAATACAGTAAATTTAATCCATTATCTTTTTTTCTTATTTTGGTACCAGGCATTGAACTCGGGGCACTCAACACTGAGCCACATCCTCACCCCTATTTTGTATTTTTTTAGAGGCAAGGTATCACTCAGTTGCTTAACACCTTGCGGCTGGCTTTGAACTCTGAATCCTCCTGTCTCAGTCTCCCAAACCGCTGGGATTACAGGCATGCACCACTGTGCCTGGCTTAATCCATTATCTTAATTCTTAATCTGCTCTTTTTCTGTGTTCCCAGTGAAACTGATCTTCATTCTTCTCCTTAACTCTTACTTTGCTTACTATATCTAATCACTCGTTCTTCCTAAAATTCTGTGTTCTTTCCAATCTTCATTCCTGCAGTTTGGAATTTTAGCCTCTCTTTCCTAGAAAGTTGCAATAATGTTGATGAAAATAACAAATCACATATGAAGCATGTAATTAGCTCCTTTTCAATCAGTAGATAAATTCAGTTTAAGAAGAAAAACATTCTTCTTCAAGAAATTTTCTACTTGAGAACTGCCATTACCTCTATTATAATTTATTTTCTGTACTGCAACCAAAGTTACATTTAAAATATTTAAGTTAAAACACAATGTCTGATAGGTACAGTGGTGCACACCTGTAATCACAGCAACATGGGAGGCTGAAGCAGGAGATCTCTATTTTAAGACCATTCTGGGAAACTTAGCAAGACCCAGTCTCAAAATAAAAAATAAAAAGGGGTGGGATGTGATTCAGTGGTAAAACACTGCTGGGTTCAATCCCTAGTACTAAATATATAAACAAACACACAAGAAACTATAAAAATTTAAGTAAGTCACAAACTTACAGGAAAAATTATTCTCCCCCCCTTAATATTCCCTATCCTACAGGTATCCTTATTTATTGGCATAAATCCACCAATACTTTCCCCATGATGGAATACATAAACATACATGTATATACACACTTGCACACATACACACACATACATTTGGAGTTATATACACAATAAATAAGTAACTTCCTTTTATAATGTCCTAGAATTTTCTCATGTGGTAAAATATACATCTCATTTTAATGGCCACGTAACAGCTTATACATTCATTGATAAAAATACTTAATCTAAGATGACCATGGTGGCTCATTCCTAAATAATCTCAGCTACTTGGAACCTGAAGCAGGAGGATCTCAAGTTTGAAGTCTGCTTCAGCAATTTAGCAAGAACCTGTCTCAAAATAAAATAAAAGGAGCTGGAGATGTAGTTCAGGGGTTGAGTGCTTGCCTTAGCATGTACAAGGCCTCCAGTTT